ACACTTTGTTCCTCTCTAATACTAGATGTGGCAGTTATAAACGTCCTGCCAGTGGCCACTGAGAGACTGGGTCAGAGGGGAGAGACACAGTTACCTTCAGGCAACTTGGAACTAGAACACAATCTCACATTATAGAGAAGCTTCTTACACAGACTGGCAGACTGTGGGATGGGGAGGATTCTGGTGTGTGAAGTTTTATCATGAAAATAAAGAAATTTGGCCAATGGAGCATAATATCTACTCACTTAAAGTGACAGACAAAGCAATACACCAAGAGAGTCTAAGGGGAAGAAGGCAAGGGTTTCTTTTCTTGTACTGGCCTGTTTTCCTAAAAGACAGGATGCCATACAGTATCCTAAGCCTCCAGGGAACCTAATAAGGAAGGGCCATACCTCAGCCATTCCATTCTAGTGAAAAATCCATCTTATTTTTTAGAAACTCAGGAGAAAGAGTCCAGAACCCTCCCTAGGGACAGCTTCCGGTGGTCCACTTATTGACTCTGTCTGCAAGTTCTTCTCAAAGTCTTCCTTAAATTATTTTTAGTACAGCTAAAGCACATCACCCTTTGTTTATTTTCAAGATGCTCCTCCAAATACACATTCATATAAAAAATTAAGAAAAATATTTTAAAGGAGCATCGATAGGAAGACAAGACTTGAGAATTTAACACTAAACCAACCTGGCACCTCATTTTCTGGCTACATAAGACTCAGGAAGAGGTAAACTCAGGGACATGGATGACACTGGCCTCTCTCAAATTTTGATCAGGCTTTTTGAGATGAATTTTGAACTGGGGAAATAATTTCAGATGACACAGCAAAAGACTGCAAACTGAACTTAACGGCGACCTGGCTGTGTGATCTGCCACCCACCCAAGGCCTGCTCCTGAACAGTCACCCCATCCTTACAGCTGCTCTCAGTGGAATTTAAGGACATAAGGAGTTACATGGCAAAGACACAGGTGTCAGGAAATTGCCTGTGGATTAAGGATTAATTCCTAGTATGTGCACTGTTGACCTTCTGCCCTCCCCCATTATAGGCAATGTGCAATTTGCTGGGGACAATCAGGGCTTTGGGAGCACAGATTACACATAGTAATCTCAAAGTGCTGTCGAGAATAAACATTAAATACTAGAATTACTGCTTTTTTTTCTGTAACCTAGAGAAAGGAAATTGTTATGCTCAGAGTGGTCAGGATTACACCACGGCATGACATTATCTTCGAGGCTGGCTGGTTCCCAGAATCCTCCGGAAGGCAAGCAACTCTTGACAGTGGCCAGCCAGGGAGTGAGCTGCTGATGCCATGGTATTTGCGCTGGAGGCAGGCTCCTGCTTCTGAGGAGCTGCATGCAGGCGTGAATGAGTCTCCTTGCCTGCTAGCTAGGAGCTACAAACTATACCTGGCACCTCTGCCACTTCCTACAAATGTCTTTCGATCATTCACCTTGTATAAATGCAATCACCTTGTTGGAAACTCTGCTTCTCTGTGGGAGACAAATACTTCCTCTAAACCTGCCCCTCTACCTTACAAAGCTTGGTAGGAAAATTAAGGTCCCTTTTCCAACTCTCCCCACCCCTACCAGGCCAAAAGGTCTCAAAAGGCACCGCTTAGCTTAGTCCAAGGCTCACAACAAAAATCCTGAAATCATTCTTAACAACACTTTTTTTAAAAAATTTTTAAAATTTTTTAATTTTTCGGCAGACACAACATCTTTGTTTGTATGTGGTGCTGAGGATCGAACCCAGGCCGCACGCATGCCAGGGGATCACTTTACCACTTGAGCCACACCCCCAGCCCCAACAACACTTTCAATATTTAATACATTTTGGCGACCAAAGCAGAAATGACTCTGAAAGTTATCACCCTACAAACACAAAATACCAAAATGTTCTGTGCTATTAAAAACTCAAAAAAGGGGCTGGGGTTGTGGCTCAGTGGTAGAGCGCTTGCCTCGCACGTGTGAGACCCTGGATTTGATCCTCATCACCACATAAAAATAAATAAAAAAAATAAAGACATTGTGCCCATGTATAACTAAAAAAACAAACAAACAAAACAAAACAAAAAAAACTCAAAAAATGGTCCAAGTAAATTTCAGAATAGGGACTGGCCTGAGAAAAGATTCTGCCTTATATTGCTGGACAACAGAACTTTATAGAGGAGAAATAAAATTCATGTATTTTAGTTTTTGTCCATCAGTTTTAACCTTATGTCTCCAAGTTTTGCTAAAGCCCACTCTACAATGGACCTTAGAATCTTTCCATAAACACACACACACACACACACACACACACAATTTAAAAACAACAACAACAACTATTTCTTCCTCCCTCCTGCCCTCTCTCTCTTTCTTTCTTTTAGAGACAGGGTCTTGCCGAGTTGGTGAGGGATTCGCTAAGTTGCTGAGGCAGGCTTTGAACTTTCGATCCTCCTGCCTCAGCCTCCCAAACCACCGGGACTACAGGTGTGTACCACTGCACCTACCTAGCTACAGATAATGTTTCATCTGTGCTAAACAAGTCCCCTGCCAAGCAGTTGGTACTATGGCAAAAAGTCCTTAAAGGAGGTAATAGGGAGGTACCTGAAGGTTCATACATTCTTTCATTCAATCAGAGTTTATTTAGTGACATCAGGTGACAGGCATTGGCCTGGGTACTGGGGACTCTAGATGCAGACCCAAGCCTCAAATTGCTGGGGGCTCTGGGAAATGGGAAAAAGTTAACAAGCAATGGTGACAAGGCTTGATCCCATTGGGGTAAAAAAAAGAAAAAAACCACAGGGCAGCAGTAGCTAAAACCCAGATGTGAGGAGGGTGGTGGGAGGCTCAGGGAAAGCCTTTGGGGTGGGGTGGGGGAGTGTCCTGAATGGAAACTAGCCAGGCTGAGGGGAGGGGTGTGAAGGAAAGCATTCAGGGAAGAGGGAATTCCATGCAGAAAGTATTCCATCCAGGGGCAGCAAAAGCCCAGTTCCTCTTGCTTAACCTAGTTCAACATATTCTTGATTTTGCAGGGTTGAGGACAATTTTTCCCAAATGTGCACATCAGTAACTAAACATGTTTTCTGTGACTCAAGTCCACCCTGGCTGCCCCCATTCAGATTTTCCCAGGGCCAAGGCACAGTAACTGGACTGCCACTCGAGTTCTCATTTCCTGCCCCAGAATATGGCCCCCTTCTAAGGCCCTAAGCATGGATTTAGGAAAAGCCTATAAAACACACCAGAGAGAGCACTCACACACCTATAAACTCTTCATCTAATTCCTGACAATACAAAGCATCTGATGTGGGTCATAGAGAGATTCTACTAATTGAAAATGTCTTGCTCGACTTAATAGGTTTCCTTTATTGCTGCATTCACCCCGATCCAAACACAAGTCTGACTTTTAACAAGACTAGAGGCCATAGAATCTAACCTGATAAGGACCTAATCTAAGATAGGGGATAACTCTATGCACAGGCATAAATTCATCACAGCATTTATCTGCAATAGTGGAAAAATAATTTTTAAAAAATACTTAAAAGTGCTCAAATGGGTGAATGGTTAGATAATAACATTATATCCTTTCTGGAATTTTTGCAACTTTTAACAAAGATGACAACTTATATTGTGCTGGGAAACATTAGCAAAAGACAATATTCAGTGGAAAGAGAAAATATATAGAATCATACAACTATTATGCTTACAACCATGCAAAAAATATAAACATGAAAAATGCTGGAAAGACATGCACCAAAATGAGAACAGTATTTGAATTAGTGTGATGTGATTATGAATCTTTCTCTAGTTTGTCAAGTTCCTTTACTGCATTTATAATACTTTTCAAATCAACTTTTAAAAAAAAATCATTTATTTTTTTTTAGTTGTAGTTGGACACAATACCTTTATTTTATTTACTTATTTTTATGTGGTGCTGAGGACCAGACCCAGGGCCTTGCATGTGCTAAGTGAGTGCTCTACCGCTGAGCCACAACCCCAGCCCTAGAATCAACTCTTAAAAGTTTGCAAGCTCAAAGCACCAACTCTTAAAGTTTGCAGTCTGAACATTTTTAAATCCAAGCAGCATGAACAAGACACCAGAGACTGCACGTGGATCTCCCCTCTGCAACGCACTATTTCTCTGAGAACGAGCCAGTGGGCATCATTCCAGCCCTCTGATGAACTGTAGCATCTTTATGACAAAATGTTCTGGGGGACAAGACGTAACCCCCTCAGAACCTGAGACAGGCATTTGAGAACATCAGCCAAAGGGTGGGGGGGTTATAAAAGTTGAAGATGAACAATGGATTTTAAAGCTCTTTAAATCAGGTTCAGAAACATCACCATTCTTTCGACTCTGGGGGAAAAAAACAAAACAAAACAATGCTCTTTTCAAAAACAAGGTGAACAAGACCAGGGTCTGTGATGGCTAATGACTTCTCTGACCCCAATGTGTTCTCAGTTTGGGGAGAAATTGGCTGATTTCCTGTGTCTCAGCTTCTCCAGATGTTCACCAGTGATGGTGACGTCCACCCAGGGGATGGGGGGAAGGAAGGGGGCCACTTAGCCCTTAGAGGGAAGACAGAGCACAGAGACTGTTTCTCTTTCTTCACAACTACAAGAGCTCAACTTGAAAAGAATGAACTGTTTTCCATCCCCTCTGAGCAAGGGAGTCTAAATCAGTTTTAGTTACAGCAAGAATTATTACTTAGGTTCCATTACAGTTAACTCCTTCTCAGAAGAGAGAATAGCTAATGGCAGTTGTGGAATTTCCTCTTCTAGAGATTGGAACAATAGGTTAGATATACATCTGGCCTTGAACGCCCAAGGCACAGCATCCACAGAAACAGACTGAACAAAAATAGTACACATACAAAACTTGAGGTGTGTCCCTGCCATTCTCCTACCGATTTTAATAGAGATTTAAAACCAGTTGACATCGTGTCCCTCTATCCTCTGCTGAAGCAACCTCTGGATCTCATTAAATTCAGAAGAAACATTGAAGGTTGACCAGCAAAGATTTACCTGAACTAGGAGTTCCAGCTTCCTGTCATCAAGAAGATGGACTTGACATCGACGGCCCTCCGTCATCTACAAGGAAAAAGAAATGGTGGTCACTGAGAGTCTAGAGAATCACACAAAGGGTCAGAGGGTCCCAAGCTGGACGGATTGCTTCATTCATTGGTTCATGCATTTGAAAATCTTTATTGAGCACTTCCTATATACATACAGGGTGCTATTCTGGGAGCTGGGTGTACAGTGGCATACAAGGAAAGGTCTCTGACCTTGTGGAACTTACATTCTCACAGAGAAAACATGAAATAAATCTGCAAATACAAACAGAACATACACCAAGTGGTGGTATTAGTCATTCTTCCTTTCTTCTTCTATTCAATAACCATATTGCCATAAGTGAGATCATCTCCAGGGAGCAGATGGCCACTCAATGGCAACTGAGTTTGATTTTTGTGTTAGCTAAGCATCTCCTCTCCTCCTGTATGACATGAGTCCCTACAGTGCTGTCATCAATTACAGGACAGCCCTGGAGATAATGTCCATAGATAACCCTGACTCCTGTCCCTTATGCCTTTCAGGACTGCTATCTCTTAGCAATACACCAGAAAGGTAGGGCACTGAGACCAGCACCAGGAGACCCAAGGGTAGGCATGGCTCTGATGGTTCCCAGCTGCAGGATTTTATTCATCTCTGCACCCCAGGCTCATATACAGAAACAAATGGGCTGGGCCTGATGACACACTTGTGAAGGTTTCAACTATATTTCTAGAAGGATGGATCCCTGATCTGTAGCATTTTCTGGAGCCCTGGCAGCATCCTCAAAAATAAAAACAAAAAAAAAAACAATCCTCTGAAGAGCAAGGCCCCTCACGTGTCAGGTGGCCATGGCTCTAACCCATAAACTGACATGCTGCACAACAAATACCTTCACTACATCTGATGTCAGCTTACTGTTATGACAAAGAATTGACAGTTATCCAACATCAGATAAATAATCTCGAGAGTGCTAATAATGGCAAAGTGTAGTAAAATAATCCGGACATCATGCCCTTTGAATATGACCTGGGCTTTTAAAATAATGCATTTAATTATGAATTTATACAATTTAATTTTAATAATGGCTATGCTTGACAACTGGCACCCCGTTGTCATTCTGAAAATGTAGCAATTAGCTCCCACAAAGTGGTATGAGTTGTTCCAACACCACAGTGTAGGTCAGATGACCCATAAGGTTCCTTCCTGCCCCTCCTGCCCAGTATTTTACATGACTCAACAGTGCTCTTGAAGGACACCTTTCCCCCAGTGACCAGTCACCTTAAGCAAATCAAAAGAAAGGATGCACAGAAGCAGATCCTGACACTGTCCCATTACATGGCCATAAGTTCTCACGAGCACTCTCTCCAGGGAAGGTGGAAAAAGCGTTGTATTCAACAGGAATAGTTCTCTGACCAGGAGCATGTCCGGAGTTCTCCTAGAGCCCTAGGAGAAAATCCCCTTATTCCCTCCTCAAAGCAGTCAGCCCACCATGCTCCCATCAATTCTGAGTTCCCCAGTTAAAGGGTCTTGATCAAAATAGACGGAACTGGACACTATCATGCTAAGTGAAATAAGCCAATCCCCCCAAACCAAAGCCCCAAATGTTCTCTATGATATGCGGATGCTAACACACAATAAAGGAAAAGGAAAATAAAAGTTCATTGGATTAGACTAAGGGGAATGAAGGGAAGGGGAGGGGGTTGGGAATAGGAAAGACAGTAGAATGGATTTGCCATAATTTTCCAAATGTTCATATGTGAATACACAACCAGTGAAACTCCACATCATGTACAACACAAGAATGGGAAGTTATGCTCCATGGATGTACAACTTGTCAAAATACATTCTACTGTCACATATTTCTCAAAAGAAACATATAAAAAAATTAAAAAAAAAGAAGAAAAAGAACAAAACAGCATGGTCTGCTTGGATAAGTCTAATCTCAAATGCTTCTTGATTTTAGGCTATAACAACTCAGCAGTCAAACTTCACAGGCACTCTAACAAAAAGACTTAACTGGGCTAAAAATGAGGTAAAACTTCAGCCCAAAGGCTCACCAGTTTGCACAAACAAGCCAGAACACTCAGTTATGGACATGAGATGGGTTCTGTGCAAAGTTCTTTGTACACAAGGTTGGTTGTTAATTGCTTCAGTTGAAAAACAGGTTCAAAGTTCTATTAGAATTCATCAACCTTACACATAGTAGGCATCCTAATTGAGTGACTTAATTTGAAAAAAAAAATTACTTCTTTTCAATCAGTCCACTACCAAGTCCAATGAAAGTCGTTACAATTTTAAATTAAACCAAATCTGTGCTGCAATGCCAATATGTACAAATGATTCATTTTTTTAAAAAAAAAAAAGACAACAAAGTGCAAAATGCTGATTTCAAATTTCAGTTGGGTAATTAATAGCAACTTCGTAGCTACTCTGGATAAAATTCTGGAGTCACAGAAATTCAGCTCTCACTGGAAAGTTTAATAGAGTGGAAGTTCTAGGAAGGAAAGTGGTTCCACTGTTCTATGTATTATTTTGAAATTTAAAAAAGATATATTTATCACAGGTTTGAGATAATTCCCCAAAGCTCAAGGATTAGAAGAGTTTTATGCAAGAAAGGCTGCTTGTCTTTCATATCTTCCAAACACAAAGTTTTGAGCTTCATTACGTTGTAAAAGTTTGAGTGTATACACATGCTTTCAAATGATTTGTTCAGGTTCTACCAAATTTTATGAAAACAATTTGGTATCTGAAAGACATTACTCCATTAAGTAAAGTTTTAATCACAGTGATTAAAAAAAAATGGGTAGTACAATCACTTTCTCAAAATATTTCCAAGCACATAAAGTTCACACTTAAAACTTTTACCCCAAGGGTCTTATTTTCATCTAAAAAAATAAAATTTTCATTAAGTTAAATAATGTCACTTTATGTGCTGTGTATGGAGATGTTAGTATCTAGTCTTTGGGATTTTGCAAGCATGCTCCAGATTTTAATGCCTCCCTTGTCAAAAGCAAAATCTACCTGCAAGAAACTGGTACAGAGGAATAAGCTGAAACAGACACTTGGGTTTGAATCATGATGTTTTTCAAGGTACGACCTTCTTTTGACAGTATGGCTGGGGTTTGTTTCTCAAAGTGCACTGTTTGCTCTTCCATTCTCCAGTAAGACTGGAGTTCCCTGTTTTCATCAGAGGTTCAGAAAAGGTTCATCCTCGTGGGTGTGGACAGAGAAAGAGGAGACATCTGTAGCTTTGTTTGCCTTGCCAGGCACAGTGAAAATTTCTTCTGAATACTAACAATTGTAAAATAATATTGCTTTTTTTTTTCTTCCCCTTTCATTTTCAGCTGCTCAGGCACAATCAGAGTCCTGGCATCACCCTCAAAGGAAATCCTTTGGAGAACAAGGCTTCGCAGAGACGTCAGCTGGCTACCATCCCAACCATAAATCATATTCTGCAAAAAAGTTCTATACCAAGCACAGGCCTGCCAAGTGCTCTGTGCCTCTAAGGGATATATGGAAAAGAGTGATTTTGAAAGTGAGGTGTCCACCTTGATTTATCCAACTTTGCTGTTAACTTACACTCCTAATCATCAAGACTGCATCAGTAAGGGAAGACACATATGATTCTAACCTAAGTGGGCATAGCAGAACATGAAACAATATGTGTGCTATGAAGCAGCCAATAAAATTGTCATGAAAATGGATGGGGATTAGAAGGCAAAATCAAAATAGTTGATGTACTAGGGTAGAGACTCCTGGGTGGCTCCTCTTCACCCCCCACTCCCACCCAAATATTATTTCTCAACTTGTTCCTTTTCTCCGCCGCCCGCCCCCGACCCCCAGTTAAAAGAGTCCTGAAAAAGAAACTTTATCTAGAAAGATGAATGAGATTGTTTGAAGTCAGACATAGGAAATGGAGCCTGACAAGATTCTTACTCAGCCAATTCACTTAGATGGCTTCTATTTTTAACACGTAAAATCAAGTTTATGAATTTAAAAATGAGAATTAAAGTTGTCACACAATCCAAATACTCAAGACTGAATGTCTGACACATTCTCTGTCTGTAGAGAATTAATAGGTAGCCAACTGTGACTGGAAGTGATTCCTGGAGTACAAAAGCTGGGAAGAGGGGGTTCATAAATACCCATGTCTGAGGGTGTCTGTCTATGACAGCCTGATACAATCCCAATGGTGAAGGGACTATTGCTCAGATGTGATAGGGAAGTCTCCTCTTTGGGGCATGACTTAAAGAAAAAAATCAACAAATAACTAGCGAAAATAGCAAATAAATAAACAGGAATGACTAAATGGTGACTTCAGAATACTCTGTGGGGGGAGGTGCAGGGTGCCCAGTTCAGGGATTTGCTTTTTCTTGTTGAGGTTCAGATTTGCAACAGCCATAGCCCAGCAACTTTGAAAGTACTCTGCCCACATCACGCAGGGATATGGAAGGCAATGGAAATCAATGTTTGGCCAACTTTTTCTTAAAGACACTATAAACATTCTGAGTGAGAAAACCTCAGATATGTTTTATTAAGAATATTTTCTCTTCTAATATAAAGCCAAGTCCATCCCATTTTCATGTGCTTCTTATTATCACTTTTTTCTCCATACCACATACTTTTTCTCTGTCTTAAGGTTTAGTGACTGTTTAGATGTCCTCTCTTCCTCCTTTCTTGCTCCTCACCAAACATTTTACATATCATGGTATACATATATGCAGGAAGAGCTCCAAAGAAATAATCCTAGTTTTGCTATTAATTGTATTTTTGTAGAAACGTAATGCAAGTATACAAATGGTAACACATCCATTTGAAGATATCAGATTCTGAATTCAAAAAAAAAAAAAAAGCATCGTTTAAAATCAAAACTAAGCCAGGCACAATACAGAATGCCTGCAATCTCAGCTACTTGGGGGTCTGAGGCAGGAGGATCTCAAGTTCAAGGCTAACCTGGGCAATTTGGCAAGACTCTGTTTCAAAACAAACAAATACATAAAATGGGCTAAGGATGTAGCTCAGTGGTAAAGTGCTAGCCT